TAAAAAAATACTATATAGTAGTGGCTTGATAAAGATATTGTCCACCCTTACCACCGCCCCATAGATATTCGTTGATCCAAACAACAATAAAATCCAACCACATAGGAATTTGTTTCAGATCTCTTACCCATTTCGCTCCGCGCCGCAGTCACCGTTGGCTGTGTCGCGCATGCGCATATGCATACATTAGTATTCATTTTATATGTCTGACTTAGATCAGCTATAAGTACTGAAATTTCTTTCTTTACACATTAGGTGAGGGTGTCTATAGTTTGACATGGTTTGTTAACCTATATGGCTGCAATCAATAAGCACATGATCCACAAAGACTGCAGCACCTGATCCACAAAGACTTATCGATTACAAGTGTCTAGATATAAATTTAAATTTAAAAGTATTTTACAGATTTTTTTTATTAATAATAACTCATTAGATAAATTTTTAAAAATACCTTTAACTTGGTATGAGTTGTTCTAACTTAGTTGGTGTCGAATTCAAATCTTGAATATACAATTCTGTTAAATATTCAAAAAGAGTCATAAAATATAGTATGATTGATAAATAACTTATCTCTTAAACATATGATCAAAGATTTAATTCTTAATTAATTTATAAAAAAATATTTGTTAAGAAGGATCAATCTCTAATAAATTTAAGTATCTTGAAAGATTAATTATTAACTATCAACTAAAAAAATACTTTGATTTATAAAAAGATATTAAAAACGTTTTATAATCTACAATAATATTATCAACCTCTTTTAAAAAATATACTCATAGTCTATATATAAAAGATTAAATAAGCACATGGACCAAAAGAATTCCATATACTTATTGATGATTTGATGGTGAATTGTTTTGTTTTTTCTTCCCCATGCGCACACCAGGACCAGACAATTATTTGGACTATAGATCTTGCTTTGAACTCCGGAGAGTATTTTACTTTAGAGTTCACACTGGCCCCAAGAAATTAATGTACTTCTCCGTAATATATTGATTGCAATAATTGGTAGCGGGATCCGGTTATATGTGGTGCTATAATTCGAAACTTTTTTTATACCAATTATGATTTTATAATAATAAGTGAATATTAGTCTACTAAGGGCGTTGGGGGCTTTTTTGGTTTTCTTCCATGCATCATGTTGCTGTACATATGAAAGGAAAACTTTGGGATGGACATAAAAGAAACTCTCATGGTGGACCTAAAGAACCAACTTGACTGCACTCATAACGAGGTATTAGCGTTTCAATTTTTTGACCAAAATCATAACGCGGACCACATATACATAAATACATAATCCCTGAGGGAGGATAATGGTATATATATTGTATGGGTGAAAACGGTGTGTTTAACGGCAAATATATAACTTATACATATACATGAGATATGCTATATTTTCGTATACTAAGTAAACAGTATATATATATAATACTATAAATTATTATAAAAAGTTTCAATGCTTACCATTTAAAGCAAGCAAGAAAGACTAGAAGATGTGCTTTCATATTACATTTTAGACAACATTTTTTGTTTTTATCTCTTCTCATCCCACAATGCTAGACATTTCATATTTTTTCCTTTCTCTTTCTGAATTGTAAATTTTGATGTATAAATAGTAGTTTTCAAAGATTAATAAGAGGACATATTAATCAATATTTTGGTTGGACAATGCTGTTTTTCAGTTATATGCTTTGTATTCACCAACAAAAAACAAAGTTATATGCTTTGTACAAAAGAATCACCCGCGTTTGACGCTTTCGATCTATGCATAGTGACTTATATATAGCTAGGTATATGATCATGCACGTATAGCTCATAACAATTTGAAAAAATAACAAAGTAAAAAAAAAAAGTGTGTTAGCGTTGTACGCGCCACACACAGATATATACTTAATTGATACGCTCTTAACAAAACAGGAAAGGGAAAAAAATATTAGGAAGAAGATAAGCATCTAATTGAAAGGGCAAAAAATTACTAATTTTTTTCATTAAAAAATGCATCCGTAGAAAATTTTCCCGCTTTAAATATTTTTGAGAAAATCTCCAGCTTTTAATTTTTTGTGATGTTATTTTGGCCTTTTCTGGACTTTCATTCGGGTTTCTTTAAGAAAAAGAAAGAAAGAACAAAAGAAGATCGAAGAAAGCAACTCGGGTGTAGGAAGTAAAAACACGTAGCTTGAGAAGGAAGTATGTTCACAGTTTTGGAGTTTTTCTATCTCAAAAGGTGATACTTATTGTTAATTTACAAGATACCTACTGAGATGCACATATGCACAGCATGTGCATATATACATGGCAAAAAGCATTGTTGTCTTTGTAATCATACGCACATAAATCTTTATCTGTGCACATGTCATGATGCTCCGAGTTAACAATATTTTTCATTAAGTCCAAGAGTAGTGCTTATATATAATTGTGTCTCTTTCATACATGTCACAACTTTCATGAGAATATATATACTTCTGTGCCAGAAATTAGAAGTCAGTCTATACACAAAAATTGTACACTCTCCAGATATTGGAGTTAGCGTTTTTGGTTTCTGGCTGTTTCATCTTTTTACGTGACCCTTTTCCAACCAACGGGCACATTCACACTGCATGATTTTACACTACTCTACAGCAGCAGCAGCAGAAGGTAACAGGTAACAAGTACGTAGAAGAAAGAGTAACAATGTTAACATACTTATGACTGAAACAATAATAATCCACATCTTTGTATTAAAGCAGATAGAAAAACGATCATCTAATGGGAAAAGAAAGATTCATTTCTTTTATGGACATAGTCTATATACACTATTCTAAAACTAACAATCAAGAATTAATCAAAATTTTTAAAAAATTACTTTTACTAGTCAAAGACATATATTATCACAACAAGAATCAATCCTAAAAATGTCATATTGATTTTTATATTGCAAGACAAATCTTACAACTATACTACAAAAAATATTATATACATTGACATGCAAAAAGAGTCATTATAGGCGTAATATATGTATGTATATATTTATTTAAGATATAATTACACACAATTTTGGTATTAATTTTAAATGTGATTTAATAACGTATTTTGTATATTATTATATTCTATACTTACACTTTTTAACAATATACCAATATATATTATTTTAATATATAGATAAAAATAATTTTTAATGATACATATTACTATCAAATATATGTCACTGTCTATGACAATATAGAATTTGGTAAGAAAAAAAAGAGAGATCCATGATACACAATATAACGTATTAATTAACTAAGAAGTGAGGTGAAGGCAAGTAACGTGGGAATACACACACTTTATTCACCTGACATGCATGTACTTTGGTTCCTGTAGAGTGGGGTGTGTGCCTCACGCCAACTATATCCTACATGTTATTCATCTTCTTCTTAGTGGATAAAGTTAGCATCCTCGCTTGTCTTTGGGGTGTCACCCTTATGATGAAAGCTTTTCAGTTTATTCCCTAGCACCCCACACCAACCCGCCTACTTGTGGAATATCGGTTCAAAGTTTGAATTTAACACTGGTAAACGAATTTGAAACAAGAATAAAGAGATACAAAGATGGATGGATTTTGTATCTAAGAAGAAATTGCGATGCAAAGAGATGGCATGTGTAAGATATTGTTTTTAGTGTTTTTGTTGCTGAGAGGAGATTATAATCTGAATCTACAACTATGGTGGTATATGATTAATAGATAATTTTGCCTCTTATATGTAGTTAGGAATTAAATTTTTTAATTAGATCCATATATATGTATTAAAACAACCTATCGAAAAAAGATTGAACCCTTGCATGAATCCCAATTATATCTTAAAGAATAACACTTTTCATCACTTCCAAACAAGCAAACACTAGCTAATATACAAGTAGAAAGACAGCTTCAACACTCTTCACTTAATTTGATCTTTAAAATAAACATCATTTGCTTTCAAATTATTTGAAAGTTCCACCGCGGACCTCAATTTCTTTTAGTGTATCTTATATATTTTTCGGACAATTATTTTACATTTTTTTAATGTCAATTGATTTTAAAATAAAATTTAATATAATAACATAACATGTAGTCTAATATATATGTGTGAATCCCTAATACAATTATACTTATGACAAATTGATTTTAAAATAAAGTTTACTACAAATATTTCTAAATTAATTGACTTAATGCCGCACTTACAAAACTAATAACCATTTTAATCCCTAATCATCAAAATCAATAATTAAGAAGTAATCTCTCATTGAATTTGAACTTAATAAATATTTTTCAAACACATAAAAATAAATCATACGATCACATATTTAGGGATAAAAATATTTTTGACTGATGACACCTGGTTGATAAACTAAATTTGCATATTTGGCAGAATCAAAGTAGTAATGGTTTGCACTTGGTTTTAAAGCAGAGGGTCAATTGTCTAGGGAACGACAGA